ATGCTGATTTTGTGCACTAACTTTAACCATCTTGTACAGACATTTATATGAATGGTTTTATTAACATTTGTATTTAAGATAACATAAAATTTTGATACGTTAAAAAATGTCATTGTGTAATAATTCCCGGCATTAAAAACATTTTGTCACTTAATAATTATTTGTTTGTCTTGACTTTCAGGTTATTCATATATTGTTTTGGATAAAATAAATATATACATTTTTTATAACAAGTTCAAAAATTTGCTATTCGTTTTAAATTGTAATTTTCTATTAGAATTACAATTCCTAAATGGTACATTTTATCCAAATAATATATAATTGCATTTTATCCAAATAATATATAATAACATGAAATAGATATAATTTAATACGCATATACTCATAAAATTGACTCATATACTCATAAAATTTATTTTGAAAGTGAATTTCACAGTATTTACATCTAATTTAAAGGATGAAATTCATTACATTTATTTACTCATTTTAAGGAAAGATAAGTATAAAGGGTAAATATCATACCTTTTCGCTTTGATATCTAAGCCTTTTGTATATTTTTTCCATTTCTTGCAAAACGCATTTTAGAACGTCATACTTATTTGCTGATTTAAAAGACCTGTAAATTAAAATATTTTTGTCTATATATAATTGTGCTGCTAATTTTTTAAAAAAACTAGTTTAACAGAAGAAAAGCTTTCTAAATTTAGGTAGCTTAAAAAGTACGAAGGGCATTTTTAATTGGTTTTTTTACTAACATATTATAATTGCAGTCTTTGGAACTGATCATATTAATTTTCTTGAATACCATTGTCTTTTCTTACGCATCTTTCATTACTAAACCATTCTTCATTTAAATTGCTTGCTTCATGGAATCAATGACTTTATTCATCACAACAAGCATCTTTGCTGAAATATTCTGCCATTTCACCTCTGCAATCAATTTTCATTCTAAATGGAACTCTTTCACTGGTAAACAAATGCGTAAAAAAAATAAAGCTGATGGAAGAATACTTTTTGGCCATTATAAAGATATATATATATTTTGTAAAGGTGTTAGATCTCACGGGCCGCTAAATTTTCAATGCGGGCCATAGTTCTAGGTTCCCCTGTTATAGGTATTAAGACTATTGCAGAATGTAGGATGCATACATTTATTTCTATAAAGTAGTGAATTCGTCTTCTGCATTTTGAGGCCCATATTGGTTACTAATCATCTGCGTTACTTGATGTCATGGATACGTAGCCATGCTAATTAAACAATTGGAGAGATAAAGAAGGCCAATCGGACTGAAAAATCTCATTTTGTTTTTCATGTTATGTTGATGGAAGCGATTTTGTGTTGCACTTTACGATAATGTAGCAGATATAAGTATCAAAGTACAATCCATGAATTCACAAGACTCAGTCCACTTTCTGTTGTTGTGTAACGTCAGATATAGCACGAACAATCTACAATGGCTAATTGTGGCTAAGCTAAATCGACTACAATGGCCTCAATGGCTAATTGGCTAAGCTAAATCGACTACAATGACCTCAATGGCTAATTGTGGTTAAACTAAATCGACTACAATGGCCTCCAATGGCTAATTGTGTAAACTAGATCGACTACAATGGCCTCAATGTCTACTTGTGGTTAAACTAAATCGACTACAATGCCTCAATGGCTAAATCATCCGTATCGCTTCAAGACTCTTTAATGCTACAAGAAGGATGAAAAAAATAGGATCCTTCTCTGGATGAGCCACCTGCCATTAAACAGGTGGTATGGATTGAAATAGTACAGGAATGATTTTATATTAGATAAAATCGATCTTTACTTTGAAATTTAAAATTATTCTTACGTTTGTATTTACTTATAATTTTTAATAAATATGTAGATAAACTTATTATAGTTCGGTTAGAACATTGCATGATGATTTGTAGTTATAAAGAGGCAGAGATTCAAAATGCAATGATATATTATTTTTATTTCTCTTTTCTTTTGTTAAATTATTTTTGCATTTGTCAGACGTTGCATATTTATCACATGGTTTTAATGAATATGTGAATTTGAAACATACTTCATGAATTTATAATATTAAAAATATTTATTAGTAGGAAATATTAGAATGCAGTTATAAAACATATGTTCAATTAGGTAAATTCAAAAAAATAACTGCAAAGTATTTTTAATATATACATATTTATTACATATTTATTTACAACAAATTTATTTATTAATTATGCTGAAAAAATATTTAATAGTAACTACTTTCACCTTTCCGTCTAAATTTCCTATTGAAGCGTATTGTATAAGACAGCCTGATTTATCAAATCCAATAAAGTTTGGGAAACGAATTTTTTTGTAATACCTAAAACAAAAATATTTAAAATATTCTTTATTTAATTAAATATTTAAATACATCCAAGTAGTTACAATTAAAGAATAAGCTTTAAAGGATGAAAGATAAATTTAAAAATAATTTTCAGTACATTTTGAATTTTTAACAATTTCAAGTAGTAAAAACAAATTTAAAAAAAATCATATAAATTTATTGAAAAATAATATGTATTCTAATTTATAATTTTTTAGAGAAAGCCATAATTTTTTTCTTAATTTTTAATATGCTTTAAATTGAAAAGGAATTGCATGCTTTTAATTTCTAATTCTATATCTTTTTGTAAACGATTAAATGCTTATAAATATATTTTAAAATCATGATTATTTTAATAGTTTCTTTGATTTTTGGATATAAATAGGATTATGTGTGGATAATATCAAGTTTAGAGTTATAAACTTGCTTATATTGATATTTTATCGAAATTCAAAAGTAAAATAAATATAATATGAACAACAACAATAAATATATACAACACATTCAAATTTATAACTTTCATAACAAAATTTAAAATTTACACAATAACATATGCATTTTAATTGAAAGGAATTTAAGAATACAATTATTTAGTTTTGCAATTCGCATTTTATGAATGGCTTGAAGACCTACCTCTAGTGGTTGAAAAATCAGAAATAATGGTATCAATTTGAATTTCTTTTCTCCATTTCAGATGCTATGAAACAGAAAAAAAGTCTTTAAGACATGTATAAAATGATTGTACACTATATAATATGTTGAACACTATTACGTTTTTAATAGTATTAATAAAAAGAAATTTTATGTAAAAAATTTTGAAAAAATGCAGTTTGATTTCTGCAGAATATAATGATAATTAAATCCTTAAAAAACATTGTATAAAGTGAATAAATTTTATGAGAATTTAATTTAATTTTTAAGAAATTAATTAAAATCGTTCAAAAATTTAAAAAGTTTTATTTTATGTTGTTTTTCATAAATGCCCTTCTCTTTTGTCGTCTACATTTAGACGACTTATATTTTATTATTCAGAGAGTTTACTGTTTAATATTATAAATAGAAAGATTTAATGATCATTTGTTAGACCACACGCGGAAGTAGGGTGAACAAAAAAAAAAAAGGCAGCATGATATTCAAATGTGTCTTTTTACAATGGTGATAAAATCTCTATATTGTCTTTCGACGTGGTGAAAAATTCATAACAAGACAAAGGAAATGGCCTTCTTTAAAGTAGTTTCAATGAATATACTAAATCGTTTTGAATAAAATGAGGTTTGTTTTTTTTCTCGCACGTGAAGAATTCACGTGTATGATCTTTTTGTATGATATCTTATTTTCACTGAAGGTTAAAAAAAGTTAAATAAATTATTGTAAATAATTATTGTTAATCCTCAATTTTTTTTTAAAGTAACTAAAATCTTTTTAGAAAACATTTGGGTTTTATGAATTCGAATAATTTTATGAATTTTAGGCGAAATATATTTTGTTTAAACCAATTTACATAAATAAATATTACATTAAATTATTTTCAATAATAAATTAAAATTTGTTTTTATTATTGGTAATTAATACAACCAATATTATAGAAACACTTTAATTGTACTTTTGCAGCAGCTAAATTTATTATTAACTGTAACCTTTGTCTTTAAAGAATGCAGAATTTCGTTTACCAACGTTTAATATAAAATAATTAAAAACATAAATCATGATAAAATTGAACGATTTATGAATAAATCAAAATCATGTAAAAAAGAGATATTTTACTATTGAAAAACTATATCAATTCATAACAAAAAAGTTGTTAATATAGTACTATATTAAAGAGCATTCATTACACAAAAGTTAAACAAAACATATTTCTAAACAAAAACAAAATATTTATAATTAAGAAATTACATTTTATGAATGACTCCAACACATTGGTGTAGATAAAACCTCAAAATCTATATTAATAAATAATCGTAATAAAAAATGATAATAACACTGCTAGTATGTTTCATTAAATAAAAACAATGTTTTACCTTAAGATAAGTTAAAACTAATGCACCTAAATGTATATTTAGGTTTCTTAAGTTTCAAAAATTAAGGAAAAAAATATTGTAAAAAATATTGCCATTCACACAGCTAAAAATAATTTTTATTGATAAACATAAACCACATATTATAAAAAAAGTCTTACTGTATAATATTATGACAATCAAAATTGTGCAGCTACTGTCGTTAAAAATCATACTTTAAAACATGGCGTTTATCAATATGTAATTTTTTAATTAGAAACGGTGGTGTGAAATTTGAGGCAACCTTGTTTTAAATATGAGTATTGACATCATTTGTTTGAATAATTATGTTATCAGTTATTTAACTATGATATGTTTCCCACAATAATTTTTAAACCAAAAGCTATTGATATTTAAGGCAATTCAAAATTATTGCAATCATGTTAAGAACCCTTTCCCAGAAAAATAAATTAAAATTCGAATGCTTTTTCATATTGTATATTTTATATAAATCAACAGCTCACATTCCCTAGGAAAACTCACACGAGCTATTCAGATTCAATTATATGTAGCCCATTACCTGAATGTGAAATTCTCTGAAATTCACAGCCTATAAGACGCTTTTATTTATTTGATTCAGAACTAACTTTTCTGTCAAACCGAGTCGAACTATGGATCCATGGCGATGTCAGTGAGTTTCGCCCATATAGTCCACCGCTCTGCCAACTGAGCTATCGACAGACATAGAAAGCTTTTATAAGAGCATAGCTAGATTCTAGAAATTTCTTCCTGAAAAAAATCTAAAACAGTAGTTCTCAATATTTATAGGTTTCTAAAGTTGGGCCTTATTTAAATCCTATAAATTATTTGTAGCCCATCATACACAAATTTCTGACAAATACACCTCTGCTACTAACGCATAACAATTTTATATCCGGATGGTTAACTCTACAGATTTCTACTTACTGACAAAGGAGTCTCAGAGGTTGCAGTTGAAAATTTTTTTTTTATATTAAAAATTACATAGACTCTACACACCTCCTTGTTGGCAAGCACAGAAGATGCCACTCCTAGTTTCTCGGAAACATTTTTGGCACATTATTGCTATTTGGTAACTTTATGGAAGAAAGAAGACAAAAGTAACTAGAAAAATAAGTTTTTTTTTTTTAATGACAGTTATCTTTGAATAGGAAATCGGATAAGAAAAGATTAACTATTTTATTTTTATATTTGGAAAAATATTTGTTAAATACCAACAGGGTTCAGCCTTTGAGAACCACTGATCAGCTGTATGAAGATAACTGCAAGGGAGGCGTAATACTCTTCATAAACACATATTAAATTTTCTTTTTGTAGCCTGAATTCATTATTTATTTGGCTGATTTCTACACAGGTGCAATTGGTAATTCCTTCATATAGCAAGAAGATAATGCTAAATGCTAAACAAACAGAACGAAAATGGGGGTTTTGGTGTGTGGGGGGTCGCATGCAAGTACAAATCTGAACAAATTACCCTGTAGAATACCTTAAGTAAAACCTTCAACCATAAAAAAGAAATTTTGTCAAACAATCGTAGTAAAGAGTTAGATATTATGAGCAAAAGTGATGTGTTTCTGCATCAGCAGAAAATATTGATTTTAATCATTCTGAGTAATTTTTAATCATTGAAGTTTAAATTAACTATTGAATGAGTATGCATGAATTCTGAGTCATTCAAAAACGGCAAACTGCATTTTCTTATCAAAATCTTAAATGAAGTACGGTTTCATTGCTTAGGAAGGAATGTAGAAGATATTAAAAATATTTTCAAACAAATATTTCATATATTTATAAAAATTTTAAAAAAGTATTTCATATATTTTTAAATATTAAAAAACATCAAAATCAAAAAGTTAAATACTTTATTCTATACGTTTTTGTAACATCAAAATGTTACAAAAGAAGAATAAAAAGAAAAATAAAATATTACATAAAAACAAACTTATTATATTTATTATTGTTTACAAACTCTGATAAAAGTCATTTCAGATTAGTATAACAGCAAGCCAATATTAAAAATATGTAAAAACTTACGTTTCTCATCATAGATTCAGCTTGATTTAAATTGAAATTCCGAGCTGTTAAAAAGAAAATCCAATAATGAATTGTTTTTATGGTAAAATATTGGCTTATATATATTTAATTATTTGAAGAAAAATATAAGAATTAAGCTTGAATAAGAACTAAAAATTTTTTTTCGCAAATTTAACGAATATTAGGTTATAAAAATTCTAGCAATCAAATTATCTTTAATATTACATAATTTTTTTGTAAGACAAAAATTTTTATTTTCAATATGTAGTTTGAACTACAATTATAATTAAATCGTTCTATGTGAACAAATATGTTCGTTGTTGTGAAACTCATTCTATGTGAACATATAATTTTACAGAAATTTACAAAATTTCTAATATTAATTATTGAAATATTTTCAAAGGAAAATAAAATGAAAAATAATTAAATATATTAAATAATAATACATTGAAATCATTAACCAAAAAAGTATGCAATTATAATAGTAATTGATATTAACATAGTATTTCGCATTGTTAATAAAATAAACTTTATTAAACGTCTAAATATAATGAATATTCTTTCCAATTTTTATAAATTATTATTACAATATCTGATAACTCAACATTAAAAATCAAATTACTTTTTTGAAAATTCAGTTAATGAAAAATTACCTTTAAGGAATTTGTAGAAAATGTATTTATCTTCATACATATCTTTTGGAACATCGTCTTTCATTATTTTTTGAAGCTGTAAAAAATTTTTCATTTTATTTATTAAAAAATTATGTATATTAAATATCGATAAGAACTTATATGTTTTTTAATAGTTTGAATTTGATATTATTTGAATATTATGCCAAAAATTATTTAATCAAAAGAACTACACTTTTTAAAGCAGGCATGCAAATCCCATTGCTCATAGTTGCTTTTCAATGATCATCCTCACAGTTTCATAATAGATATTATTATTATTTTGGGAAGTTTTTTAAGATTTTGATGAAAACTTGAACAAAGTATGATACCTCTGATTGATCGTTAATTTGATAAAGATATAAGCTTTTAAGTGATTAGAAAATATTTTTATTCAATGCTTACTTATTTATTGTAAGCTGGAAGATCAAAGTCTTTTGCCAATAATGTGCTAGCCTAGATACTGATTGATATTTTATATATTTATTACCCAAAAACTGTTCCACATTAAATGTTCCCTTTTAGTAAATTAATATAATTGCTGCTAAATAATACATTAAAATATAACTGATTTGTTAAAAAAATATATTTAATAAGTAAAACAACATAAAAACTTTATTAGGAATGGTTATAAAAATATCAAGAGATAAACGTATATCATTAATCACTAATGCACTTAATTTCTACTTCTTTTCTTTTTCTTTTATTGTTATACAGCCAAATATTTAAAATGATTATTATGTTATTTCTTTATTTCTTTTATATTATTATGTTATTAATTTTATTTCATACAAAGATGGTAGAAATATTCCGATATTGTTTTGTGTTATTTATGAGGAATTAACAATACTAATAGGGCAATCACTAGTCTGCGCATTAATACTTTAAGGAATGCTTATTAAACGCACATTTCATAAATAAATTCAATAAAAACAAAATGCTAAATCAAATTTATGTTTTACATTATGATTTATACTGATGAATATCTGTATAAGCATAGAAAAATAAGTTTCAGGGATGTTTGTCTTCCTAAAATAAAAAAAAATAGGCTTCTGTATAAGAAGCTGAGTTTAAATAATTTTCTTTTTATTGTTATTACATCAATTTTAAGGATTTATGTAATTGCATAACATCTAAAACAGTGTGTTTTTCCTGTATTCACTTAAAATACTTATGGAACTTTTAGTTTAAAGGAACTTGATATGCTTTATTTGCATATTTACATCTTTTTCAAGGATATTGGCTTTAAATTAATAAATTTTTAATTTTATATGAAAAAAAAAAAACACTACATTAAAATGGCATATAATAATAAATTAATAATCTTATAAATTATTTGTTGTTAAAATTGCATGAATTTAAGTAAGTTTTATTAAATGTTGCATAATTTTATCACTGATATTAAAATAAACTGAAGAAAAGGACAATTTAAGCTAGTAGTTTAATTAAAAAGAAATATTGTTTTTCTAAGTTTAAATTTGGGAAAATGTAGACAGCTAAATAATAAAATAAAAGATTTAATAAAGATCTTACCTCAACAACTGCATTTTTTCATTTTCAGTCCAGTTGTCAATCATTTTGCCAGCAATGTTAAGGACTTTAAGGTGTTATTCTAAAAATAAATGAATTTTAATTAAAATGTATTCATATTGACAAAAATCTATAAAAATATCTTTTACAAATATAATCAATTAATACTATGTTGATAAATTAATTAATGCAATAGGATAATTATTTGCTAGAATACAAATAAATGTATAAAAAGTATAAAATATTTCCTCCTATTCTGAAATACAAAAAAATATTAATTATACTCATAAAAAATATTTCATGTACAAATATTAAAAAAATTTTTTAAATGCTTTTTTTTTTGACCATTTCTATATTTAAATTTTTTTTAATTCATGCTAAATTAGATTAATATTTCAATGTTATTCTTCACATTAAAATCTCATTGAATTTTTGAAATATTCAGTAATTAAAAATGTTTACACTTATTATGTAGAAATACTTACGTATAAGTTAAGGGATCTTCGATGAAGCGTTAGAAAATATTTAGTAAAAATCTATCATGAATTCTTATTCACGAAAAAGAAAGAATTCTGTTTTCAGTACACTTTGATCCTTTACTAAAAGATCTTATTTAATATATGACTAAAAGCAGTTGTTTGTGATCAATTAAAAGTAGAAGTAATGCAAAATCCATAATAAGATTAAGGAAAGAGTATACTTATGCATACATTTTATCATTGTATTTCTTGTGAATGAAAACAATAAAATTACAAATAATAAAATAAAATTAAAAAAATATATATTATCAACTTTGCTTTTACATCGAATGCAGCGAGCCATTATTTAAAAGATAAGATTGATGAATAATAAAAAACAAAGCATATACATTGTAAAATACATATTTTGTTACTGTCAAATGAAAAAAATATACATAATTATTTTAATCGAAATTATATATTTATATTGATAAAAAATATTCAATAAATAAATAATTACAAATGAAAATTTTGTTTCCTTTGCGAAATTTATTTTAATCTTAGTATATTTGAAATAATCAACATTTAAAACCAAATTGAGTCAAAAATTGTAATGTTATTGTATTAAGTGATATTAAATGAAATTATTTGAATAATTTCATATATCCCATATATATCATGCTGTTAAGAAAACATTCCATATGCATACAATATACACAGTCCAGTCATATTAATGTGACCACCACCTATTTTCGATGTCAACGTGAAAATAACCAACCACAAAAGGCAGGTGGCAGCCCATTGCAGTGGAGTGTATATAAAGACTTCAACTTAATACCACTTATATACCACTTAATACCACATTCCAGACTCCACTTAAAGCCAGAATAGTTTATTCTGGCCTTTGACAGGTGGTCTCATCAATGTGTCTGGACTGTATATATATATATATATATATGTGTGTGTGTGTGTGTGTGTGTGTGTATGGAATCCTTTGATGACCACTTTCA